AAACAAGTCAATCCACTGATCAGATCGATGTGTTTTATTTATCCTCATCTTCGCAGTCAATAGCGTTTATAGACTCCAAGGAATAGAAATCAGCAGGCACAGTTTGCCTCTGAGTTTACCCTACACCTGTGAATACGAAAAGATTTGCCTTCTCTTTGCCTGGATTTTTTTTCTTTTTTAAAGCATCAGAAATGAAGCCCAAGGTAATTTGATAAGATGTGTTGTTGAGTTTTTATATTGCTACAGTTATCTGACTACATTTTAGAGGGTGGATCCGTGTTTAAAAACCAAACAAACAAATGAAACGACGATTTTCTTTCTGCAGAAATACTGAGTTCCCATTTTTACTGACACTACACGTCTCGATTCGTTCCAATTTTCTGTAAAGACATAATATAAAATATAACAGCTCAGAAGGCAAAGATAACATTGCAGAATCTCGAATAGAGCCCCACCTTAGCTAAGAGTTAAGCACTGAGAATTGTTCAAAAAATTTTGAACAAGAAGCTCGGCCAGGGGGTCACGTGACTGTTTAATCTGCCCCCATTTCATGGCGTGGTCCACGCAGCGCACACTGGGAATCAGAGCCCCACACAAGGTTAATAAAAAGACACTCTGATTTGATAAATGATTTATGATTTCTGAACTAGTCCTCAATAAAGAAATTTAAAGAAACTGAAAAATATTAAGGATTATCTGCTGGAACGCATTGTGAAGCTAGAAATATTTGTGAGTTCAAAAAGCTTTCTGACCTCTCCTTTTTTTTGAAAGATGGTGCAGAAAATGTGGCATTTCTTTCTGTCTGATTGCAGTCTGCACAAAGCCCCAGCTCTGGGCGGAGCACACAGTAGGTCTACAGCAGGCTCTGAAGAAAAAAGTCGGAAGGACTTTTTTAGGACCACATTTGTACTTGCACTTTTCCCATTTATATTTTCATATGTTAAGCACCTGCCTCCCCCCCTCATTTTGGGGATGGGAGTGACTTTTACTCTAAACAAAGGCTTGATAGGTCAGGGAGTGGTGTGTGTGTGTGTGTGTGTGTGTGTGTGCGCGCGCGCGCGCGCAGTAACCTTCTCAGAAGGGTCTTGGATCCCCTGCCTGCCAGGGGTCCTGAGGAGGGGGTAGGGACAGGGCTGTGACCCGAGCTCCGCCACCCCACTCTCGCTCCGTCTGCTTGTTGTCTGGGCATCGAGAGAGTGGGGAAACTGGGGGCCAGCTGCCGTAGCCGGGCAGGGTCGAGGGAGAGGTCAAGGTCGGCCGAGAGGCAGCTATTGATCCGACTTGGAACGCGAGACAGGGAGCATAGCAAGACTAAAGGGGGAGCTGTGAGACCAGACATTAACAGCTTTCAGCGCTAATGATGCCCGTGCCAGACGGGCAGAGGGAAAAAAAGGAGACTGGAGCGGCAGCTGGGATCGCTCGCTGCCTGCGCCCGGCCGCCTCTCCCGAGAGGAGAAGTGGGAGGAGGGGGAGGAGGGCGAAGGGGCCAGCGCAGGGCTGGGCAGGGGCAGGGCAGCCTCTCCCTGGCCGCCGCGAGGTGGAGCGCGCCGGCGGGCTGCGGCGTGTCCAGCCCTGCGCCGGCCCGCCCGCGCGTCCCTCTTCCCGCCGTCGGGGCAGCGTGGGGCCAATGAGGAAGTGCTCCCCGGGTCAGTCGCGGCCCGCGCCGCCCCCTGCCCGCTACTTCCTGCTGGGGGTGGGGCGGGGGTGCCCCCTCCCTGGACCCAGCCGCCCGAGCGCGCGCGATGAGGCAGCTGCAGCCGGGGCCCCCGGGCACCCTGCACAGTCCGCGGAGGGGCCCCTTTCCTAGGAGGGGGCTGCCCCATTCCCCCAGGCCACAGACCGGGCCCCCTCATCCTTGTAATCGGCCCCGGGAGGGTGAGGGTCGCGTGCTGGGATTTCGGGCGCCGGAGCGCCGGCGGCGCGGGGAGGCAGGCCAGCCGCGGCGATTTGAGCCCAGACCTGCCCCAGTGCGCTGTGTGACCTTGGGCAAAGAGCTATCCCTCTCTGGACTTCACAGCACCAGTGCTCAGAGAGCTCTCCCAAATTTAAGAATGTGGGCAAGAAGTTGGGATGGCCGGTTTATCGTTTTCTTGAGAAGTTTATTTAAGGTGCGTGTGGGCATTTTTTCTTACATAGGCCACTTTCCTGGAAAGATTTTCGTGGTAGGGCTGCATGGGAGGAGGTGCTTCCAGACTTTGGACCACGTGGAGGTGGGGTGTAGGTGGTGGGTGATGGGCTGCAGCGTGCAGCCCCGGGTGGGTAGCTAGTGCGGACTGGCTCGCCACCCGCGCCCCTTCGCCCCCCACGCCGCCCGCTCCGCCCAGTCTCCACCCGCTCGTCCGCCGACCCTGCCGCCCGGTCCGCAGAGCTGCACTCTAGGGCACATTTTATTGTTATTATTTTTTAGGTGGGGGTGGCTTGGGCCGAGAGGTCTTTCTGTCCTCGCTAATGGGCGCTGCGCTCTCTTAAGTTGTTGGTGCCGTCGCCCGACCCACGACCTTGGGGGCGAATGCCCCCACCCCCGTGTCCTCCCCCGAGGAAAAGGCCCTGAGGGAGGCGGCGCGCCCGGAGGCGTCACGGCCCAGCCTTTCGCTCCGGTGAGGCCGCCAGGGCCCGGCCTGGGGGCGGGGTGGGGTGGGTGCAGCTGGGCTCGCCCGCGAAGCCCAGTCCGGAGCCAGGCCCGGACCCGCCCTCGCCGCCTCCCGGCCCAGACCCGAGATGCCCTGGGAACGGTGAGGGGGCCGGCCGCGTGGCACGCCCAGCCGGGAGGGCAAGTCGCGAAATAGATGAAGTTGGCTGAGGCCTGGGGAGGGACGAGGAGGTTGGAGTGGGGGTGGAGGTCCACGCGGACTGCGGCCTGGCCTTGTCCCCGGGCCACGGACAGGCACCCACAACTCCTCTTGTCCTCGCCGGCTGCAGATCAAACGGCTGACAAGGCAGCTGTGTCCTTCCCAGTCTGACGGGCGATTTCCAGTCCTGCCCTGGGCGGAGGAGCCCTGGGGGAGGGGGGCGTTACTTCCAGGCTGCAGTAATTGTCAGGGGGTGGGAGGGAACTGGGGGACCTGAGGGGGTCACCCACACGAGTGGGTCCAGAGATCCGGCCACACCTACTTCTGGGTCAGCAGGTACGAGAACCTCTCCCACGTGGAGCAGCCCTGCCCTTCACCCCCACGCTTCCCACAGATCTCGACGTTGGGGCCGGGGTGTCAGTGTACACCCCAAGGAGTCAGTGGGATGAGGTGGCGGGAGCGCACAGATTGGGGTGAACATTCCTTCCGGAATGCGACTCAGACAAGGTCTCACGTTTCCCCTCCCCCAAATGTGCTCTTAATTCTCTCCTCTTAGCATCTTTTATTTTGTCCGCTTCGCTCTCTCTCCGAGTTTGGAATCTCAGGATTTATATGGAGACACTTTTTGGAAGTTTAACCCCGACCCCTCGATAAAACAAAAGTGAAAACAACCAAGCTACTTTTCTAGGGAGATGAAGCAATTGACCATCTGCCTCCAGTCCCCGTGTCGACCCCAACCCTCTTTCACAGCCATCCCCACGCACCCCCCCTACCCCGCCAAGAGCTTTCGGATGAGTGGGTGGGGACTTGCGTTGATTCAACTTACTTCCACGCACAGCGCACTCCGCCCCCCTTCTCTCGGGGTCCAGCTCCCTGGAGGGGAGGAGGGATGGAGGATTTTCTTTTATTTAAAAATATCCTGCCCGGCGTCCTCCCCCCCTCCCCCAGGCGCTTTGCGCTGGCAGTGCACGGGGAGGGGAGGAGCGCTGTAAAACGCTGCACGTGTGGCCGGCCTGGACTGCGGGTGTGCGCACGGGCGAATGTGTGTGTGAGAGTGTGAGTGTGTGTGTGTGTGTGCTTTCTTGTTCTCTTACAGGGTACAATGTTAAAAAGCCACCGCTAGTCGCCCCCAGTGCTCCGACTCTCTGGGTCTTTTTGTCTCTAGTGCAGATTAAACGTCACGTCCGCACTTGAACTTGAATTTTATCCCATTGTACAGAGGCAGCCCCAGCCATAGAGAGACCGAGAGCTCCCAGAGAACCCGGACTCCGCCATCTTCACGTTGCAATCTATAGCTCCCAGTCCGCGCCCGCACCGACCCAGGCGCACTGGGCGAGCCGCCCCTCGGCCCAGCTCCCCTCGGGCCCGCGGCGCCAGGGGAGCGCTGGGGAGCGCTCGCGGGGACCCGGCAGCCTCTCCGGCCGGCGCCAGCCTGCCAGGTGAACTGGGAAGGAGCCGCTCCTGGAGTCCCTCCAGAGCATCGGAAGGGTCAGTCTCCGAGAAAAAAACAGGCAGCCCGCAGAAAACCCAGAAACAACCGAACCGGGGCAGTTTTACATTGCTTTGGGCTTCTGGAGGGGGCGGGGTGAGGGGGTACGAGACAAGTCCCCAAGTTTTCTTTGCTTTTTTTTCTTTTCTTTTTCTTCTATTTTTTATTTGTTTGCATTTTTTTTCCCTTTTCCCCCCTCCTGGTAGAAGTGCGCTTTCCACCTACCAGACCCTGAAAGAAAGTGTCAGGAGCCGGTGCAAAATCCGGTTTAAGTTCAAGAAGACATTTGCAAGTCCAGGAGGCCAAGCAGTTTGAAGAAGTGTAAGCAATTTTTTTTTCCTTGAAAAGAATATATTTTTGAAGAAACCAGCCAGTCCGCGGCAAGCAAGAGCAGATTTTTTTTTTTTTTGCCTTTCTCCTATTTTAGATCGAGAGGTTTTCCTTTTTCCTTCTTTTTCTTTTTTTTTTTTTTTGCAAACAAAACAAAAAACAGCATAGAAGAAAGCGCAAAATAAAGAAGAAGAAGCGGAGGAAGAGAGGGCAAGAGGAGAAGGAAAAAAAAAAACAACCAAAACACCAACCCGGGCAGAGGAGGCGCGGCGGCGGCGGCGGCAGCGGCGGCAGCGGCGCGGCGCGGCGGCAGCGGCGGCGGCTCGGACCCCTCCCCCGGCTCCCCCCATCGGTGCAGCTCTCCGGGCGATGCCAGAATAGATGCCGGGGCAATGTCCCGCCGCAAACAGGGCAACCCGCAGCACTTGTCCCAGAGGGAGCTCATCACCCGTAAGTGTCTGCGGCGTGCGCGCGAGGGGCCGGAGGATGGGGCTCCGGGCGCCCGGGGCTGAGGACACCGAGCCAGGCGCAGCCGGGCCGGGCGCCGGGGAGGCCCGCGGGCTCACAGAGGCAGCAACGTCGGCCCAGAGCATGGTAGGGGGCGGGGGGCCTTGGGAAAGTTTCTCTGCAGCCCGGAGAGTCCGGGCTCTGAGCACTCAGACGCGCCTCGGGCTCGGGGGCCTGCGCAGCGGGCTCCGGGCCGGGGAGGGGGCGCGCGGGCTGGAGGAGGTGTGTGTGTGCGCGCGGATCCCGGCTGGACGCTCGCCCCTCCGAGCGGCGTGTGTGGCGGCGGCGGCGGCGCTGGTGGCGGGGTTTGGAGAGGAGGGGGAGGGGGCTGGGGGAGCGGAGGGGGAGGGGAGCCGGGAAGTGGGGAAAAGTTGGCTAGCGCGTGGGTCCGCGCTGACGGCGCGGGCGGAGGAGAGCGGGGTGCGCTCGGGCCTGGGGGCGATGCGGGGCGAGGGGCGGCCGCCGGCTCCGAGTCGCCCAGGCGCTGCACCCGGCCGGGCAGGGCGCCGGCCACGCCGGTCCTAGGATTCCGCAGCCGCCTTTCTCTCCCCTCCTCTTGCTATTTGCAAAAGAATCCAGCTGCGTGGCTGTTTGCCGGGCTCCTGCACCCCAGCCCCCATTTCCCCACCTCCGTCTGTCTCCTGGGATGATCTTGTCTTCTTTCCCCCACTCCAAAAGAAGGTGGGGGCATCGGGGGCTGGTGAAAAATCCCCGCCACGGGGGGAAAGAAAAGCGTTGTTAGCTAGGAGTGGGATGTGCTTGTACAATAGTGGGGGGGGGGAGAGAAAAAGAAAAAAGGAAAGAGATCTATCAATCTCTCACCCATCTTCCTATCTCGGATCTTTCATCTTCCCTATCTAAATAAACAAGGCAGGTCGCAGTGGAAATCCACCGGCTGAAATCGTGTGGATTTCAAGCAAGTGGCGGGGCGGGCAAAGTCAGGCAGCGGGGCAGAGACGCAGCAGCTTCCAGCGCCCCAGTCGGGTTTATTTAGCAAAGGGAAGAAGCGTGCGGGAGCGGGCCAGGTACGGGGTTTGCAGGGGAGCTCGCCCGGCTGCCTGCACGCTTGCACCCGGAAGGTCGGCTCGCAGCGCTCCCCGCCCGCCGCAGCCCGCGGGGCCGCTGCTCCGCGGCGCGCAAACCTTTCCCCGCGGTCCTTTCTCTCGCGGTGCCTGGGTCGCCTTTGCTTTTTTTTTTTTTTTTTTTTTTTTTTTTTTTTTTTGCCAGTCCGGGGGCCTCTCACTGTTGTGGCCTCTCCCATTGCGGAGCACGGGGGCGATGCGGGGCGAGGGGCGGCCGCCGGCTCCGAGTCGCCCAGGCGCTGCACCCGGCCGGGCAGGGCGCCGGCCACGCCGGTCCTAGGATTCCGCAGCCGCCTTTCTCTCCCCTCCTCTTGCTATTTGCAAAAGAATCCAGCTGCGTGGCTGTTTGCCGGGCTCCTGCACCCCAGCCCCCATTTCCCCACCTCCGTCTGTCTCCTGGGATGATCTTGTCTTCTTTCCCCCACTCCAAAAGAAGGTGGGGGCATCGGGGGCTGGTGAAAAATCCCCGCCACGGGGGGAAAGAAAAGCGTTGTTAGCTAGGAGTGGGATGTGCTTGTACAATAGTGGGGGGGGGGAGAGAAAAAGAAAAAAGGAAAGAGATCTATCAATCTCTCACCCATCTTCCTATCTCGGATCTTTCATCTTCCCTATCTAAATAAACAAGGCAGGTCGCAGTGGAAATCCACCGGCTGAAATCGTGTGGATTTCAAGCAAGTGGCGGGGCGGGCAAAGTCAGGCAGCGGGGCAGAGACGCAGCAGCTTCCAGCGCCCCAGTCGGGTTTATTTAGCAAAGGGAAGAAGCGTGCGGGAGCGGGCCAGGTACGGGGTTTGCAGGGGAGCTCGCCCGGCTGCCTGCACGCTTGCACCCGGAAGGTCGGCTCGCAGCGCTCCCCGCCCGCCGCAGCCCGCGGGGCCGCTGCTCCGCGGCGCGCAAACCTTTCCCCGCGGTCCTTTCTCTCGCGGTGCCTGGGTCGCCTTTGCTTTTTTTTTTTTTTTTTTAATTAAAAAAAATTTTTTTTGAAACTGCAATAGAAATAAAACGTCCTCTGGGTGCCATCGAAACAGCGGGCAGGTTGTGTTCCTGCAGTCCTTGGAGCACCTCGTCAGGCTGGGGCCGGGCTGCCGGCGCGGAGCTGGAGAGGGCTGCGCGCCCAGCCGCCGCCGAGGACCGGCTGCGGGGCGGCCGAGAGCCGAATATTTATGTTATATTTTAAAAAATTTAAATAAATAAATAAATATATAAAGGGGTTCTCCCCTCCCCTGAAAACCCAGCATAGGCGCCATCTGCTCGGAGCATTTGCTGCTGCCATCTCTCCTTTGTTACAGCAGATACATTAGTAAGAATTTGTGGATTTATTATTATTTTGGGGGGAAGGGAATAGATATTAAAGTGGGCTTGCTTTGGGAGAGGGATACCTTTCTGGAGGGAGGGAAGAGGACTTCTATTTTTCATCATTGTAACATCAAAAAGACTCGCTGGTTGCATTTAAAACAAAATGTTTTGCAACCATATTTGAACCTGGTTTGATCAAGGTCCTCATCGCCAGTTGACATTTCGTCCTTTACCAATCCTTTAGCAATCGGTTATTCTACCCCCCTCCCCCGTTTAGATGGTGGAGTGGCTGTTAGAATATCTGTACTTGCAGACGCCTAATTTCTCCAGGAGGCAGTTTGCCCCACAGAGCCTCTGTATAATTGCAAGGGTTGTTTTTGAGGAGGGGGAAGTTGGGGCGGGGGGGAGTCCGGGAAGGGGGAGTTGTCTGGGGTGCATTGCCAAGCTGGCAGCAGCGAAGGAGCCAGGAGTGTTTGCAGTTGTGTGTAAAGGGGGAAAGAAGCAGGTAGGTTCGCTTTGCTTTTGCTCTCTCCTCTCTGGTGTTCCTGGGACCTCAGGAGCAAGCCCTGGCCAGGACGACTGGCGGCAGCTGGGCATGGGGGGCGAGGGGCGCCTAGTGCAACATCCTTCCATCCTTCATTTGTTTCGTGGATGTTTCAGTCTTGCTCAGAGCAGTGCTGGGGAAAGCCGGCTGACACTGGAGCAGTGGCAGGGAAGGAGAGGTGGGGAGGAGACCAGGGGGCAAAGGATATCCCACCTGCCTTCCTGGAGCGCACGGAGCCCAGGGCATATGCAGGGGTTTAAGCAGGGAGAGTGGTCCAACCAGTTTTCAGACAAGGCTATTTATTATCCAAAAGCAGCTGGCTTTTCTGTCTGTCCCATGTCACCCGGGAGGTGGGAGTGCAGGCAGGGGAAAGGCAAGAATTGGATGCAGTTTAGGCTGTAGGGCCTGTGCAAGCGTGCCTTTCCACAGTGATGCAGGAGTTGTGGGTCTCGGGTGCTCTGGAGCCCTGGCCAGCAAAATGGGTGCTGCCACAGCCCCGATCCGGTGTCCACATTTTAGATTTCAAATGTGAAAGAAACAGCCTAAAACGTGGTGCATCTTCCCTTGGGTGGCAGCCCGCCGGCCTCAGGTTCTTTAGAGATGATGCAACTTAGTATAACTGATGGTTTGAGAAACAGAAGAGCACACAAACAGCGTCGATCATCTTGCAGGGGGGTTGGCAAGTGGGAGAAGGGCTCCATAATGAGCTAGTTGAATTTACAGACAGGGCCAGTGAGAAGAGGGGTGAGGTAGAAAAGAGAGAGTGGGAGGCAGCTGGGGATGAAGACTTAGGCTTCTGGTTTGTTTCAAAATGTTTGACCCAGATGGATATGGCTTTTAAAACCGGAGGACAGACACAGCTTTCAATAAAAACAAACACAAAACAACACAGTGACAGTACTGGACAGGGTAGGATGAGGACCAGTGACTGGTCAGGCAGAGGGAAGGGCCGTGAGCCCACTGTGCCAGGCCGGGTGAGTGGGGAGGCAGATGAACCCCAGGCTGTGCAGGAGCTCTGAGGCTTCCCGAAGGAAATAAGAAGGCCAGGGTAGATTACACAGCCCCAGCGAAGGTGATTTTTTCAACAACCCACCAACAGGTTTCCTTGGAAGATTAGTAATTTTCCATATGAATTCACGATTTTGCAGAACAACTAGAGACCCAAGATTTGACACGGAAGTTAGGGTGTGTTCATTCCATGGTTGCCTTTTAAATTAGGCTTTGCTGTGGCTGTTTTGAAGGCTGCTGTGCTTACAATTATCTTAACTCCCCAGGGTAGAGTAATATCACCAGGTGTCCACATATCTTTCAAAACTGGGCCTCTGATAAATTTCATAAGACCTGGGTCCCTCTTTTTTTTTGGTAGTTGGTGGGGGGAGTGAAGTTTGTCTCCCTTCTGCACAGAAGGGAACCCCATATCATTAGCAGTGTGATATAAGTCAGCTGCTCTGATTCTAAGGGAGAATAGAAATGTGTTCATCCAAGGTGTTATGCCAGGCGGATTTTATTCATTTGTAATTCACACCTGAGAGAAAAAATAGCAATGAGCATATTTTAACAACCCATAATATTTTTAAAGGGTAGTCTTTCCCTCCCTGAAAATTACGTACGGGGGAATATTTCCTTTTTTCTGAGGGTGGGAGGTGGCTCTCTGTGCTTTGGCCTTGCCGATTTTTGTCTGGCCTTCAAAATATTTCGTAACAGAAAACGAGTCATTTCTCAAGTGCTGGAGTGAATGCAGTTGCTTTGGTGAAGGCGGCCTTAGGAACATGGAGGGAGGCTGAGTCAGATGGTGGGGTGTGATGCTTTGCTGACCACTGTGCAGGGCCAGATGGGTCTTATTGACCAAAGGGGAGGCCAGTTTTGGGTGCACCGGAGAGTAATTAGCATCTGTCTCAGGTGAGATGGAAGCACGCAAAGCAATCGATCAGTTTCCCACTGTAGAGGGCACCGGTTTCTAGCACCTTATCAGAATCGATACAGCTCTTGGCGCTGTCTTTGGGCTTAGAACACGGCTTGCACC